AGCCCCCGCCGTTCAAGGAGTGAACCGCCCCCCCCCCCCCCACTGCACAGGGAGGAAAGAGAGCTTTAGCCAGGATGGGTAGGGACGGTGCCCCGGCCTCTGTTTCTCTGGAAATGGGTGACAGGGAGGGATCACGTGGGGATTTCCTGTTCTGTTCCCTCCCTCTGGGGCACCTGGTTGGTCTGACCCAGTCTGGCCGTTCTTATGTTCCAGTGAGACCCCAGTCTCCCGGGCCCTGGAGCATGGAGAGAGAAGAGGGGATGAAACCCCACTCTCCCCAGCCCTGGAGTACAGGGCGGGTGGGCGCTGGGGGACAGCAACACTCGACCCCCAGCACACCTACAAGATGCCTTCTGGGGGCAGAATGTGGGTGGGGCCAGGCTGGCGGTTTGGGAGGGCAGTGCCTTCCCCGGCCTAGCGTACCCGCTGCCCATGGTCCTGGGGCTTTTCGATGGGACTTTGTTCCTTAGGCGCTTTTGAAAGCACCATCCAATTTTATGCAGTGCGTTTCGGCCCCACATCGCCGCTGAAACACAGGGGCAAAGGGAGGCCTCCCCCCACGCCCAACACCGAGCAGGCCACCGGCAGAGCTGAAAACGGAACACGGAAGCCCTGGCTCTTACTGCAGGTTGCCTGTGAGTGGCGTGCTCACTGGAGTCGGGAGGAAGGGCTGGGCCAAAAATCCATGTCACGTGCTGTGAACTTCCAGCCACTGATGGAGCTGCTGGCACCACGTGCAGACGGACCCAGCAAGGGCCGCCCAACCCAAAGAAGATTTGGGGACTAAAAATGCTATAAAGATACCCACCCTCATTGCTCTTCAGTGTTATTTTTAGAGTCAAAATAACTGTGGGTTTTTTTCTGTTTAGTGAGAGTGTTGCAGAAACATGCCCAGTGCCTGAAACTCAGGACAAAGGTGAATATTTGATTTTTTTTAAACTTAAAAAGTTTGAAGTTTCTTCTTTTCCTTAATATTAATAATGATAGTGTGTGTACAATAAAATGCTGTTGCATGCAAAAAAAAAAAAAAAAAAAAAAAAAAAAAAACACACTCCTAGGCTGCGTCTAGATTGGCAAGTTTTTCCGCAAAAGCAGTCACTTTTGCTCAAAAACTTGCCAGCTGTCTACACTGGCCGCTTGATTTTGCGCAAAAGCACTGATGTTCTACTGTCTGAAATCAGTGCTTCTTGTGCAAATGCTTTGACATTCCTGTTCAGGTAAAAGCCCTTTTCCAGAAATGTTTTTGCGCAAGAGGACCAGTGTAGACAGCTAAAAACTGTTTTGCGCAAAAAAGCCCTGATGGCGAAAATGGCGATCGGGGCTTTCTTGCGCAAAACTGTGTCTAGATTGGCACGGACGCTTTTCTGCAAAACGTGCTTTTGTGGAAAAGCGTCCATGCCAATCTAGATGCTCTTTTCCACAAATGCTTTTAACAGAAAAACTTTTCCGTTAAAAGCATTTGCGGAAAATCATGCCAGTCTAGACATAGCCCTATGGTATAAGAACAGTATTAAGGTTGCAAAGTAAAGCACTCAGAAGTTAGGACACACCAGAAGTAAGGTTGCTTGTGCAACTTTAATACAGCCCCTTATACACAGACACGGTACAGTCTTCAGATACTGTGGAAAAAAGCCAGTCCATGATCATGTAACCCGCCTCGTTCACCCCCAGAGCAGGTCAGTTCTCTGCACTGAATCAGGTTGTTCCTTAGTAATTTTAAATAGAGCTTTGTGTGTGGCCTTTTCTAGGGGTTGGGTTTTTTAAAAGAGCCAACTGGAAATGCAAGAAATCCCATCAACCCACCCGCGTCATCAGCAGGGTCGGAACTTTTATGTCCACTGCTCAGACCTTTGCCACTTGAGCTACAGAGCACCTGATAGCCGTAGCAGGTGGGTTTACTCTGGGTGGGCCGGCACCGGGGGAGGATGAGACACTGCCAGTGGACAATTGCGCTATTTCTAGGATTAAAATCCACTGAAGACCTGCAGAAATGGAGCAGAAACTGTAACTGAATGGCTCTTTATGGCGTTTATTCTCTGTTCCCCCATTGTATTCCATGGATTACTACTGTTCCTTATTTACAGTGCAGTACCTGGAAGCTACGACCCCTTTGCCCTAGGCACTGCCAGGTCATGCCCTGAAAGTAAGAGACCCCACTGATCATGTAAGCAAAGCTCCTCAAGATAAAGTTAGTCCCAATGTATTTACGCACATCTGGACAAAAAAAAAAATGTAGAGGTAAGATGCTGAATGATAGGAGGGGGATGCCAGGTCTAAGACTTTCAAGTGGACACTAGAGATGATTGAACAAACCGGGTGTTCTTGTTGACAGACCAGCGAGTGAACATGCTCCAAGCTCACACTAAAGACACGTCAAGGACCACCAAGGTAAATCGCTTTGAAAGAGTTTTATGAGAGGGGCTCCCTGCGGGCAGCTTTTGGCAACGAGCAGAGAGCAGGAATAGCAGAGGCGGCTAGAAAGCACAGCAGAGAGGGCAGGCGGCAGGCGGGGGGGGGGGTGTTACAGCTGGAGAAAAGAAGGGGGAAGCACAGAGAAAGGGATGTGGTATGGAGAATGGGGTGGGTGGAGACCCCACACAAAAGATGGATCCAGGGTTTAGTGAAAATATGGCTCTTTAAATCAGTGGTTCCCAAACTTTTCAGCATCATGCCCCCCCTTCTGATTTTTGAAAAACCCTCACGACACCCCCCCCCCCCCCAAAAAAAAACACTTGTTGAGAAAAAACAGTTTGGGAACCCAGGCTTTAAATGTTATATAAGGAGCTAACATTCCACCTTGCGACTCCCCTCGTTAGTCCTAACATCAGTGACAGCCCCTCCCCCAGAGACCCCAGCGCTGCCTGTTGTACCCTCTGAACCTGCAGTAGCAGCGTCCGGCAGCCCCAGATGCCTGAGAATCGCCAGGCCCCCTTTGCCCTCCCCACCCCATCTCTGGGCCTGGACCCCCTTCCTGGGGGTCACGGAGTCATTTTTGTCGTCAGAAGTGGTACAGTGAAGTCTGAGACCCCTGGAGTAATCGATCCAAAGGGGTCACAAGCAGAGGAGAGAGAAAATACTAGGGAAAGGGTTGTGGCCACCCAGCCGCTAACTCAGCAAGTTATAAGCTTGCAGCATCTTTTCACTAACCCTCGCCCAGCCTTGGCCACAGATGCACCCTCTCTGCTTTATTGGGGAGGCAAACCTGGGAGGATTCAAAGGAAAAAGGCCCCTTTTGCCATAATGCCTCTGGGGAGAGGCTCCTCAGGCTAGTAATGGCATCCGAAGCATAGTGGAGGGTTTTTTATGCCGACGGTGAGCTGCAAAGAACTTCCAAAAATACTGCGTTTGTGCCTGTCAAGGGGCACCTTGCCCATCCGCCAGTGAGGGCAGCAACCTAGAACTCCCTCGCAGGGTACAGTGGCCTAACAGCCACAGAATCTATGCAGCACAATCTGCGTCCAGAGCAGCACGGCCTGGTGGTCACAAAGCTAATATGCAACCCCCCCCCCATGTTCAGAGTAGTACAGCCCAGCAGCCTCAGTCAGTATGCCATCCCCCTGTATTCAGGATAGTATGGCCCAGCGGCCCCAGAGTTTATACACAATCGGGGTAGTATGGCTCAATGGCCACAGAGTCACTATATAGTAGACAAAGCTCCCCCACATTGGGGTATCTGAGGAGGGGGTAAGAGAGGCCCAGCGCAGGGCTCTCTTAGCAGTGGCATGGCTCAGTGCTAGCTTAGCGGGGAATCCCACCGCAAGACCCTGAGCTCTTGGGGAGCAATCCCCAGCCCTGGGCTAGTTCCTACCTAACCTGACCTGACCTGACCTGACCTGACTGCCACCGTTTGGTCCAGCTGTGCATCCTCCCCTGGAGCTCCTGCAGCACCTCCTCACCCTGCAGCCATCAGCGGTGAGTGAGCAGCTCCAGAGGCCTTTAGAGCCAGCCTGCAGTTGGAGCATGCCCAGCACGGCTGGGAGGGTGGGGCTCTGAGCCAGCTGGGCCAGGTGAACCCTTTGGCCCCAGTGCCGGGTTGATACACCCCATCACATTGCCCTTTTTTGCTGCTTTCTTGTAGCTGCAGAACGCTTGGAGAGGTCATTTAAAAACAAATAACCAACCCCCCCTTTTTTAGCCGTTGAGAAATATTAGGCATGTCAAGCCTGGTCTCCTCTGATTTCACTAGAGAACTGATTGGCGTCTTCCATATCTACTGTGAGCTTCTACAGCTGATGGGATGGTGATGTGGAATCATCAACATAAACAACCTGTCTCCCAAGTGTTCATTGGTCATAGGAATCAATAGGTGTAAACAAGACCACCTGAGTCTGGCTAACATTCCCTTCCCCTCCTGGTTGCTAGATTTTCATGCCTGTGAGTTTTCTCATTAGGCAGCTGCCAGCAGGGTGGACAAGGCCTGAATTTCTCAAGTGAGAAAAGAGAAAACAGGAAAAAAAAAAAAGGAGAAATTCTTTCAGGGCTTTTTCATAAAGAAGCAATAAATGGCAGTAGCCCTAGTTTTTCCACCCTTGGCAGGTCCCTGCTAGCCAGATTCAGACTTACAGTCAGTGAGCGCCTAGAATTCCACGGGGGCTACACGGCATCAGCCCTCGTGGAGATCGGCCTTGAAGTCATGTTTACCCAAAAAGAGACAAATGCCCAGACCAATGACACCGACGCTCAGAGGGATCCAAGCCATTGGCCGTTACTTACAGTCAAGTAACAAGCTTGTGTTATTTTCAGAGTCCTGGCCCCATGGGCCCTAATGGTAGAAAACATGAGCCAGTTGCTACTTTTCCCATCCTTGAGTGAAAACATCTTCATCCCCCTGAGCTGCTTTCACCCCTGGCTGGTTTTCATAACAATTCGCTCACTCCACGCTAAAGCAGCAAACGCCTGGTGAAACTGGAGCCCGTGCGACAGCAGTAACTCATGTCAGTAAACACCTTACCTAAGGACTGGTCCCTAGAGAGGAGGGCTGGTATTACACAGTCCCTGAACGTGTTTGAATTGAACCCGTTAAAGGAACTCAGCAGGGTGCTGTCCTTTACCTGGCCAGATGGCAGCCTCCCTTCTTCAAGATCCCTGAGCGCTCATCAGGTAACCTGAGTTAGAAGGCCAGCTCTTGTGTTGTCCAGTAGCTTAGCACTTGTCTCCATTATGTGGTGGATCAATCTGTCCACTGGCTGTCAATTTATCGCGTCTGCTTAGACATGATAAATCGATCTCTGAGCACTCTTCGGTCAACTCCAGGATGAGACGAGTAGCCAAAGTCAATGGGCGAGCAGCCCCCACCGAGCGTACCACACAGAAGATGCTGCAGTAAGTGTGTCAACTTCAGCTACACTATTTGCATAGCTGAAGTCATGTAGATTAGATCGGCGGCAGGGGTTAGTGTAGACAAAGCATTGGAGGCTGCTTAGAAAACTGTGACACCCTAATCCACCATTATTACATCCAGTGCCTCCAGCTTCACGTCTGTCAGAACTGACATCACCAGAACCACAGCTGGGGTTACCGTGCCCCCCCCCCCACTCCCAGTTCAGAGCTTCCTTGCTGTTCATTCAGTAGCTGTACAGCCCTGAACCACAGGAATGAGACACAATCCCACACTGACTCTTTACTCTTCTCATGGTGCAGTGTACCTTCCTCTCCGAAGATGCTGGAAATAAAGACTCCTCGTTACAAGAGAAAACAGGTATGTAGGTATTTATACGACCTCCCCTTCAGTCGCTGATGCAAGCCCCCCCTCCAACTACTAATGGATTTTTGCCCCCAGTGAGGCAGAGACATCTGAGCCCTATTTGGGAACCAAAGCACAGGGTGGATTAAACGACTAGCCCAAGGTCTCACAGGCAGTCCAGGTAGAACCAGGAATCAAACCACTGGTCGGCCTGAAGCGTTGTCCAGCGTTCTACCGAATAGACCATTCTTCTCACCCCCCGCCAACCTTTCCCAGACATAGTTCATCCAATCTGGGATTACTAGTTATCGCACCATTGGCTATATAGAGCTTGGCCACGGCATATTCCTGGACTCCCTGGTTACCAATAGGGCTCATGCATGCACAGCTTATGTGAGGCCTACGGACATGCCATCGCCCACTTTTGCTTCCTCCACAGGAGTTGCTGATCTTTCAGATGCCACAGTTCCTAGGCAAGGGAGTTCAATGTCCAAGAAAGTTCCTGGTGTCCTGTCCACAATTTTCTCACAAGGAAGCAGCTCAAGTGACATTTCAACACCAGACCCAGGGAACCCTTAGAAAATTCCTACCAGATGCAAAGCATGTATATCAGAGAGAATAAATCGTGTATTATGCCATGTGGGTGTCGGTCAGTTGCATTAGTGATTTATTTATATCTCATGGGGTTAAACAAAACCTAACAGAAAAGAGAAAAATGTGGGGAAACCAAAGGCCAAGTGAGTTGTTCTTTTAACAGGAAAGTGATGTCACACAGCCCAGCTGCCGTCCAGCCTTACAGACAGCTGGGCACAGCTGGGCACATTGTCAGGGAGCCCATCAGACAGATCAAGATCCTCTTTCAGAGCAGCAGCAAACTTCCTGTTCCATTCTTGGGTGACCATGGCCCCAGGCTGTGGGAGTGATCTTCACTCCTCTGGAAGGAACATGGCACATTCAGCTGCGTTGGTAACCATAACGCTTTGTGGCTCCTGCATCCGAGGGAAGGGCCTCGCGTAGCCGTGTTTGCCACGATGCGTTCTGGTTTCCTGTGTCCCAGACAGCCAGGCTGTAGCTGGGGGAATTACACAGCCCTGATGTCATCTGTTTATCAGAGGTGCAGGCCCTGTCAGAATCTCTTTTGAACCCCCCATATCCCCAGGTCTCAGGCACAAAGTTAAGATCATGTGACCAAAGGGAATTTAAACAACCCTTTTCTTTTAACAAGGGGCAGATAATACTCTGGTTGTCTCCCAGTGAATGGACCATGGTTCTTTCCAGAGATGAATGCTATTCAAAGCAAGTCAACGGAGTTACTCGCTGCTTTTTCACCCCTGTATTAGCGCGTACACCCCAGGACTGTGTCTATAGCTTGATGTTGGTGGCAATATTTTGCCTGTGCTGTCGCAGGGGAGGAAGGGCCAGTTGTCCTCCCCGTCTTTAGAAAGGCGATTTTGGGACTGGTAACGAAGTCGGCACTCACCTCATGTGAGTGCCCCGGTTTGGCCAAGTGCTGGTTCCTGGGCCGCCTCAGGTTTTTAAAAGCCTTGCGGCTACTCAGCCCTCCGCCCAAGTCCCACAGCCTCGTGTGCACTCACAACCCCCTTCGAGGGTACACCTCTAACGGGCCCCTCTCGGTGCGCTCTGCAGTGTCTCTGAGTCCAGTCCAGTCTCAGTCTGTTTCCCCTCAGT